AAGAGCTTTACAATAACACATAAATGGAATTTTTTGTCAACCAAATCTTCTATTGACATGAAATCATGATTTAATGTTTTTTTTTTTTCCCTTTTTGTCTTTTTTACTGACCGGTAACGGGATCGCAACCCTCAGTGTCGCGCCCGTACCGGGGACCGGAAACGGGATCGCAACCCTTGGTGTTGTGCCCGCACTGCGCTCAGCCAGTGAGCGGGAACCGGTCTCCACATGGGATCCGAACCCTCGGCGGAAGCGCCGCCGCGCTCCCAAGCGGCGCACTCTTCAGTGCGCCACCGGGCCGGCCCCATAATTTAATGTTTTATCTTCAGTTTTCATGGTAGCTTTGGCAGTAGCCTCTCATACTCTGGGTAACTGTAACTTTTACAAAGCCTTTTACAAAGTGGAGACTTCAAGTGCATGCATGCCCACCCAGGACTGGATTTTTTTGGGGGGGAAGTCAATACCTACATGCCAGAGCCTCATTTGGAAAGCAAATAAATATGTTGCAAATTGTTTTTTGTGTTTACTGCAAAGTTTGAGTCCTCCTGTGAGAAATACAGCTAGTGACCCATGTCCAGATGGGTTTGAATTGCATTTGGCTCTCCATTCCCACTGAGGCATGGCACCATTTTCCTGTAAATTTCCAAGGCCACCAGGGTGTCACTCTGTGCCCTCTCATCCTGGGGATGGCAGGCAGAATGTGGGATGTGTTTCTTATCACTGCTTCTTAGCTGAGGTTGTTGTAACTTGAGAAGAGTCATAAATCCACCCAGGATCTTACACAAGGTGGAGATGGATAAGTGGAAAGACAGGGCAACTGGCCAGTGATCTGAAGGAACTCAAGGGACAATGGGAAGAGGGGGAACCAATGTCCATAACAGTTAGAGGACACTTAGGGCATGCCCCTGGAATTTTCCTCCATCCCCCCAGGTGAGCAAACATCCTGGAAGCTCTCTGGAGTCCCAACCAACATGGTTCACTTCTCTCCTATCAAGTGGCAGAATTGCTGGACACGTGATCCAGCCTAACGTACTGGGAGAAACCATGGAAACCATTTCTGACCAATCTACAAAAATTCTGGAAGGAAGAAAAGGAGATTCCAATACAGGAGGCCAGGAAATAGTACATAGTCTCTAATAAGATTAATCAAAAAAAATTAATCTCCTAAAAACAGAGCTTTTGGGACACTTCTATCAAGGGGAGGGGTGTGGCTTAAGTAGAGGAAATAGAGGGTAAGAATAAATAAGTTTTCATGGCATGACATGCATCATTTAACACATTTAGAAGTGATCCGGAAAAGGGATGATGCCGTTAAATCTCCAAGTCTGCAGATGTTGCCCTCAGACCTTTTGAGTCACACTCATAATAATCTGGCAAAGATAAATTACAGAAGCATTTTTTATGAGCGTGAGAGCATCAGCCAAGCTGTACAATGGGACAGAGTGGCTTGCAGCAGGTACAAGCTCTCCCAAGGAAAGAGCACCTGAGTCCCTCAGCTCAGCCAGCAGACAGGGTTCTTTAAAGGCTAAGATGCTGGCCATCACAGGGGCTTGGAAACCAAAATAAAATGTCCTGCCAGGCATGATACTGGGGTTGTCACGCGGTACCTGGATTCCATGGGTAGTCCTGGTCCAATGCCTCAAGGTAAACATGGTGGGGCTGGAGGAGGCGACTCAGGGAGTCAAGAGGGTGAGGACAGGTGGGCTCTTAGGATTTTCAGCAGGGAAAAGCTGGAACTGGTTAAATCACAAGGGGTATGGAGAGAACAAACAGGAGATGGCTCACCAAACCGAGACTCTGGGAAGTCCTTGGGTAAAGCTGGGCTCTGTCCTGACTGTGCCCTCACTAGCTGTGCCATTGGGCAGGTCACTTGACCTCTCTAAGCTTCAGGGATCATGAAATCTACTGTGAAGTGCTGTCGCAAGAATGAGACAACATGGGTGCCCAACCCACGGTGAAGCTGCTATGAGGAGTGACTGTGTATGAGGCAGGGCATGCTCGAGACACGTGGCAGGTGAGGCAAACGCACAGAGCTCCCCTGGCCGCCCGCCTGCCCGCCAGCACCGGGCCCTTTGTGCCCTGCTGTCCCACCTTGCCAGTAGACTCAGTGCCCCGCAGGATGCACAGATACACCACGAGCCAGGCCAGGATGAGGCACAGTGCCAGCTCCCACTGCACACCCCCGTTGTCCTGGATGGATGGCGAGATGTTGAGGGTCTTCCTGTACCAGAAGTACTGCGTCGAGGAAGCCTTCTCACACTCCTCGTCGTAGCCTGTGTGGTTCCCGTTCAGGGGGCAGACGGACCATGGCAGTGGATCCTATGGGGTCGGAACCAGCATTACACAGAGAGGTAAAGGCTGAGACCAAAGGTGGAGGTGGTGGAAGGTGGCCCTGATAGGAGAGAAGGGGACTGGTCCCGAGAGGGCAGGCCATGGAGCTCCTGAGGGCAAACAGGGAATTGGAGAGGAGCACAGGGGCACAGGGGAGACATGGTGGGGGTCAGAGTAGGGGCTGTCATCTCAGTGCAATTCTATGTGTGTTCCTCAAGGACTACTGAACTCTGTTGTGGTTCTAAGAGACTGAACGTCAAATGGACAATGGCCAGACCGGCTATGACAATCGAACTCTGACCCACAACCCCTACAGCAACCAGCCCAGGAGCTCAAACCACAGCCTCTGCAGCACTGGCCCAGAATGGTCAGGTCTTGGTCAATGACTGATAGATTCACTATATTTTGCAAACTCAGGACCAACCAAAGAAAGTTAAATATGCTCCCCTAACCAATCACATAGGATGTCACGCTTCTGCTTAGCCTGCCCACAGCTTCCCCATGCTGACACTCTCCCAGCAGGGCTCACCTGAAGCCTTCTCTCTCTTTCCCACTCCCCTGCCTGCCTTGGAATCTCTGCCAAACTCAAGTGATGTTGCTGACTCCTTTGCTACATCAAGCTCTGAATAAATAGCCTCTGCTTGATCTCATTTGGGTGGGCTTTGTTAATTTCCACAAGTCCCTAGCAAGTCCTGCGATGAACAGGACTCAGGTTCTGCCCTCACTAACTGGTGGTGGAGACACATTTCCAGCAATGGATCCTGGGTTCAGAAGCTCAGGCCCCCACAACCTCGCCCTTCTGAGCCAAAGAGAACGTGGTACTGGTGACTTCCTTTAAGCTTGAGTAAAGCTATACCTGCAGCAGTTAGACTCCAGGTCTTTGTAGGTAGAGCCAGTAAGACCCTCTTCTGTTTAAATTAGTTTCAACTGGGTTCTCTGCCACTTATGAACAAAGGAGCCTAAATGGTGCATGTACAAGGACCATGACCAGGGCCAAGTGCTAAACAGAGATACTGAGCTGGGAAGAAGGGGAGGAAAAATTAATTTCGACTTAGGGGTAGGATGTGCCAACACTACTCTGCCAAGACCAGCCCCATGTTGGTCAGTTCTGCATGTATCTGGATTCTATGTGCTCAGATTTCATTAGACAAAAAGACCCCACTAACAAAAACAAGTCTGACCCCTTCCCCCATTAGGCAGGCAGCTGGAGCTTCCAATATTTCACAGGAAACAGAACCGAGGCCCAGTGGCATTACTTGATGTCATGGCTACTCTACCAGTGAGTAGCTGGAGCCCAGGTCTACATGCCTGGACAGTGTGTGGGACCCGTGCACGGGACCCTGGCTCCAGAGCCACCCTCGCTTGCTGGAATGAGGGAGCTGGTTTCTAGCTTTGACCCGGATATTTCCAAAGATGGCCACGAACGATCCTCCCCCCCCACCATGTGACATGCAGTTTCTCCCATCCGGAGGTGGCGCTTCCTGCCCCGCCCTGTGAAGCCGGACTGGCCTGCAACTTGCTGTGACCAGAAGAATGCAGCAAGGAGGTGCTGTGTGTCTTCCGGCCTAGGCCTCCAGAGCCCTTGTAGCTGCCCTTTTCACCCTCCTGGAAAGCAGCTGACATGTGCAGATATTTGAGTTAGACTCCTCAATGGTGAGGCCACACGGAGGGAACTGATGTGCCCAGTGATGGCCAGCACTAAGTTCCAGTCTGGTGAGAGGGGCCCTTGTGGACCTGGAGCCTAGTCAAGCGCCTCAGCTGACATCCCCTTGGGCCACTTGCACAGCCCATGTGAGACTAACCTGGGTCCATTCACTGGGCTATCTGCTGGTGCCAGCCCAGCCCAGCCCGGCTCCCAACCTTGGCTACAAGACTTTCATTGTGGTGAGGGTAGGGGATGCCCAGGCCGCATCCCTAGTGACTGTGATTTCACATGTTTGGGGTGGGGGCTGGGCATCAGATGTTTTAAAGCTCCCCGCAGTGTGCAGGCAGGACAAAGGAGCTTTAGAGTCTATAAGAGCTTCTAAAGGAACAAATTCCCAGTCCATCCTCCCTCACCCTGCTCTGAATCAGCAGGTGAGGACAGGGATCTCTGCATCTGCATTTGTAACAGCTCAGGTGCTCTTGCTGGGAAGGGCCCCAACTGGAGGCTGAAAAACCAGACCTGGAGTAGGATGAACAGGAGCACAGACTCTGAAGCCAGGAGCCGGTGTCCAATCCTACCAGCTACAAGCTACCTGACTCCCCTCTACCTCAGGTACTCAGTACACACAGCCTCATGGAATGGCTGTGATAATTACATGAGTGAATCCTTCTAAAGTGCTGGGACTATGCCTGGTCCAGAGCAAGTATAAGCGAATGTCTGCTGTTGCTATTATCATCATTATTGTGTGGCCACGGAGGAGGGCTCCAAAGCAGAGGGATTGAGAGAGAAGTCCACGGACCTGTACAGGACAGGATGAATGAACATTCGAGTAATTTTCAGTAACCACTCGCCTCCACACTTCTGAGGATTAGAAAAAGGTGCACCTTTCTTGAGATACTTTATTTTACCTTTGGAAGACGGTCAAATTATTATGATTTTGTTAGAACAAGACTTGTTGGTTCTACCTTTGGAAACTTGTCTTAATAAGTAGACAAACCTATAATGCCTAGCAAACCTTTAGTTGGGGGCTGCCATTGTGCAGTGCACAACCTGCCTAACCATACATGGCAGGCCTGCACAGAAGAGGGGAAACAGTCCCCAGGCTTTAGAGGAGCTGTCCAGTTTCCACCCAGAAGACTGGGGAGAGGCAGAGTTATAGCCAGTCTTCATGGAACTCTAGGTTGAGCAAGGGAGAGGATGAAGGGCTGCATCTAAGTTCAGGGCACAGAGTCCTTCCTGTCAGGGATGTGTGCAAGAGGGCAACCTGGATGGGGCTTGTTGGGAAGCCAGAGTGGGGTATGGATGTAGCACATTGCTAGTGTCGATGCCAAGTCAACATTATTGGAGTCATTCACCAAGTGTTCTTTAGGGCCACAAAGATTCGAGGTTATGCCCAGGTACTCCAGAGGCCCACAAATTGGGGTCAGTCAGTCTATGGCCAGGCCTGCCTCGCTTTAGGACCTCGGGGACAGGTGTGTCCCATGCAGGCCTGGCTTGGTGGCAAAGGGTAGGGCATTGGCCTCATTATCCCATCTCCTCCTCCTCTTTTCCTGTCTGGGAAGAGGCCAAGATGGTGGCTCCTGGAAGGCAAATGGGTACAGTGGGGAGTGGGGTCCCTGAGAGCAAAAGGACAGGGGCTGACGAAAAGAAATGAACATGGTTAGTGGAGAGGACAGTTCCCTTCGCCATGGACACAAAAGCCAGCTCTTGGTGTGAGATGGGGCTCTCTCTTCCCTGCAAATTCCAGCCCCTTCCACATTTTCTACAATGAATGTCAACTATAGTTATAATCAGAAAAATACTGTTTCAAATGTTTCTCTTTAACAATAACCTTACTGTGTTACAGAGTGACAACAGTCCTTCTACAACAACTTTGGGGTCTACAGGAAAAAGAAAAGGCTAAGCTTGAAGTCAGAAACCTGGAAGGACAAGTGACCATGGCAGGAAGGGGAGGAGATGGGGGCGGCGGAGGAAAGGCCTTTGCTGTCTTGCAGCGTTGGTGGAATCTTTCCCATCAGTCCTCTCTACAGATTTTCTCCTGGGCCCGCTATGCAGTGGTACTTAATGTTTTGGGGGTCATATCCTTTGAGAGAACCCAATGAACACCGTGGACCTGCTTGCCAGAAACATGCTCACACACGCGCGTGCACACAGACCCTCAATACGCCTGCACAACCTGGCTTACAGTGTAAGGGTCTGTGGATCCCAGATTCAGAAGTCCTCTGCTCAGTCTGGGGCATGCTGCTTCCCTCCAGCCCTTTGCACCACTTGCTGGCTCCCCCTGAAATTGTCACCCTTTCCCCCAGGTGGGTGGCCCTGCCTTCCTCTCCCTTTCTCCTGCTCCTACTCTGGCGCAGGCTCCAGCTCACCTGGAAGGACTGAAAGAGGTACCAGAAGGCCCAGGTGTTGATGACGTTGTAGTACACGGTGAGGAAGAAGGAGACCACCATGCTGGCCACGCCTGCGAGGGACAGAGGGCAGTGCTGAGGACGGCCCCTCCCCACTGCACCTGGACCAGGCAGCGGTGGCCCCATCCAGTGCGGCCCAGGACATGCCTGCAGGGACTGCCCAGGGACAGCAAAACCTCCCTTCACTGGGCTTTTGTGAGTGTTAAATGTGACCAGGCACCTTGAGCTCTTCCTAAGGGTTGTTTCTTTCCCCCCACCTCTCTCCTCATCTTCTGGGACATGAGGCTGATGACATTTTTCTGAGATCTAAGTGCCAGGTACTGTGCTAAAAACTTTCTGTGCCTTTCGTCCTCACAAGAGTATTATCCCCATTTCACAGAGGAGAAAATAGAGCCATGGGGCTTGTCCAAGACTGCCCAGCCGGTAAGTGTCAGAACTAGGATTCCAACCCCACATGGCAAGCACTTGGTCTCTGCCTCACTCCAACCTTGTGCCGGATATGACAGGAGTGAGGTTGAGTCACCTGGTCCACTCCCTGACCTGTGGTGACAGGGAGCAGGGGTGTGAGCAGAGGTGTGGGGAGTAGAGGGCATGGGGCTGCCCCTGATCTGGGCAGGTGGGTGAGGGGTCCAGGGCAGGCCTGGGAGCAGAGAGGGCTGGCCGCCAGTGGTGCTCTGGAGCCGGCCCACACTGCCCTCAAGAGTCCACCTCTTCCCAGTCCCACATGCTGAGACGTCCTGTTAGTAGCTTGAAATTAACCATAGTGTGGGGTATTTAGAGCACAGGTGTTAGCAAATGCTACAACCCAGGGCTTCCCCTACCCCACCCCACTCTGAGAGATTGGGGTAAACATTTACCAGCACCCCCTGGTTGGCACGAACATCTGGTATCTTTCTTGTTACACAGCAAATGCTGCCTCTGAGAAGCCCTCTGCGATTGCTTACTCAGGCAGATTGTAAAAACCACATACTTCCCTGTTAACAATTAACCAATTAATAGCTGTTCAAGATGAGGAGGCAGTTTGGGTTTGGAGATGATTTGTGAGGCCCTGGGACCCATTTCTTCTGCATGTGAGACTAGGTCATGTTCAAGCTTACACCCTCCTTGCTCTGCTTTCCTGCCTGCCTTCCTTTCAGGGGCGGGAGGGGTGAGCAGAACAGGCCACAGCCACTGCTGGTCAGTGTTCTTGGGAGGGTTGTACAGGGCAGGTGAGCAACGTCCAGGAGGTGCTCCGGGACCCCAGCTCGAGGTAACACAGCAGAGGCACGATATGAAGCAGCGCCCTCTGCTGTCCACATGAGCCTCCGCTTCCGCACACTGGAGGGATTCATGGCACCTGCCGCCTCTCAGTGGTGCGGCGAAGATGAAATGAGCTCAAGCACATATGGCGCATAGGCTAGCAGCCCCCACACAGCAGATGCTTACCAAAAGAGAGCCGTGAATGAGCAGGGAGCAGTTACGTGAGTTCCCAGAAGGGCTGTTATCTAGGACTTTGAGTACAGCTCCCACATCAGGCAGCTATTTCCCTCGCTCACATGACCACGCTGAGGCCCAGGAGAGAAGCAATGCGGTATCCATCCCCAGGGTGTGCAGCCTCCAGATCTCACTGCCTGCGGGTAAGAAACCCAGCCCCTCCCAACCATGATCTATGGCTCCCCGTCCTGGGCCATCCATCCACCCCAGTCAAGGGCTCTCTCTTGGGCCTTATGCTTGCCCCGAGACCCAGCAGCTTTGTTGATGGTTCCCACCCTGACCCCTATGCTGCCCAGGATCAGTACAGGGTCTGTGGGCAGGACAGACCTGGAGAGGGCCCCACGTACCGACACCACTGAGGTAGGGGCTGACAGTCCTCCAGGCGCCGATGCTGCCCTGCCGCATACGCTGCCCCACTGCCAGTTCCAGGTACAGGAGCGGCATTCCCTCCACGAACAGCATGATGAGGTAGGGGACCAGGAAACTACCTGTGGGTGTCCAGAGCTGAGAGCAGGGCCATCATCAATGGCCCACCCAACCTCTGTGCAAACGACCATCCATCACTCCTCCTGTCTTCCCACTTAGCCTCCATCTCCTGCCTGCACATCTCTCACCTTTCCATGCACCCACCTGTCACTCCTCTCATCCATTTGTCTACCATCCATCCATCCATCCATCCATCCATCCATCCATCCATCCATCCATCCATCCATCCTTCCATCCTTCCTTCCTTCTTTCCTTCCTTCCTCCCATCCATCCATCCTTCTATCCGTTTATCTTTCTACTCAACCATGTCTGTCTGTTTGTCCATCCATCCCTGGATGACATGCAGCCACATCAGTTGTTGAAATCTTTATATGCTTCCGCCCTGGGTGGTAAACTGCTCATGTCCCAAGCTTCTTGAATGCCTTCCTCAATGCCTCCACTGCCCCAGGCCCTCTGTCAGAACCTCCATTCCATCTTCTATTTCAGCAACTAATTAATGGTTGATCAGAACCAGGACCACTGAGTTGTTAAGTACGTTGGAACTTAACTCACCCCTGAATCCATCCCTCAGCTGTTCCCCTCCAGGCACCTTCTTTGGTCTTTGCACATACCCCTGATGATGCCCCAGAGGAGTCAGTGTATGAAACAGCCATTTGCCAGGCACTTACTCTGGGCCAGGCCTTGAGCTGGCTGTGGGATGGGAGAGTAGCAACCCTGCCCCCTGCCCTTGAGGGGTCACCTGTGCAGAGGAATTTCAGCTGCCCCATAATTGTCTAGGGCCGCACAGTGTTCCTGCAGGCCTGGGATCAGAGATGAGTCAGGGGCTTGGTGTGGGGAGGCAAGAAGGTCCCCAATAGACAGAGCTCCAGGCCATCCCCTTTCACAGAGCATCTCTATGTGTATCTGTTTATATAGGAGCCTGCAGGCAGAAATTTCACTTTTAAAAAGGGTCCTGTGACTAATAAAAATTTCAAACCCACTGATTCCCAAGGAACCATCTGCAGACAAGTGCCCTTGGTGATGGTAGGGAGGCAGGGAGTGTGACCAGAGCTACAGAAGCCCTCCCCACTGCCAGACACACAGACAGAGGCAGGCAGCCTATGGCAGGGCCACCTGCCCCACTACATCTGCCCCACAGACGGCTGACCCACTGCTCTCCTGCTGGTCACCCCCGCCCCCAGCAGCCCCTCAGCCGTTCCTCCCTCAGTTTGTGGCTCCTTGGCAGTGGACTTGAAAAAGGTCCAGTGGGAGAGGAGAGCAGGACTTCTGATTAAAATAAAACCCAGATACTACAGCTGTAGGGATTAAGGGCTGGTTACAGAGAGAACTGGTTCTCAGGTCTTAAGGTAAACAACAAACTATACATGATTAAATAACATTTAAGATTTAGTAAAATGCCTTTGTTGTAATACATGCTGTCCTATAGCCCACTTTTCTCCCCCAATGCTATGTCACAAGCACTCTCCCAATCACACATGACCTTTGCATCACCCCTTCAATAGCTGCATAACAATCCATTCTGAACGTGAGCCCAGAAGGCATTTAATTGATCGCTGGACACTCAGGTTGTTTCTAGTTTTATGCCATCGCAAACAAAGCTGTGGGACAAAGCCTGGTCCACTTGCTTGGTTATTTCCTCAGGAAACAAATCCCAGAAGTAGAACGGCTGGGAGAAGGACCAAGCAGAGCCCCTGTGGCCACAGCACAGAGAGAAAGGCAGGAGCCTGTGCACAGAGAGTCCCATGTCACCCGGCTTGGCACGCCCAGCCTTGTCCTTCTGCTCATGTCGGGGCCTAGAACTGACCCTGCCCTCTCATATCTGGACTCTGCTGTGAAGATTCCTCTGCGCCACGCTCCCCTCCTGCCCTGCAGAAACCTGTTTCAGCACTTTGCCAGATTCCCCTCAATATCAAAGGAGTCTCAGAGGCCATCAGTGGCTCCCACCCATGACATACCTGACAATAAAGGTCGTGTTCACACAACCTGCCCGGGGAGCAACATCCAAACCCTCAGTGGTTATAAGATAATCTCATTTTCATCCAAGATGTTAAACAGTAACCACACAAGGCCTGGCAAGGTCCACAGACAGCTTGTCTCTTTGACAGGGCCCGCCTGCCTGCCCAGTGCCCGCCTGCCTGTCCAGTGCCCGTGGGTAGGGTGGAAACCTAGGCCTGGTGCCAAGATGGGGATATGGGGCCCTTCAGTGCTGCCCATCAATAACGCCTGTCACTCTTTCCCCAACCATTCAAATAAACACACAATCCAGGGGAATTTGCTCTGTAATTATTTTTTCAACAAATGATACTAGATCAATTGAACATCCATATGCAGAAAAAATGAACTTCAACCCATACCTCACATTTTATACCAAAAAAAAAAAAAATCTCAAAATGGACCATAGACCTATATGTACAACCCAAAGTTACAAAACTTATAGAAGAAAACATAAGAGAAAATCTCTATGACCTTGGGTTAGGTAAAGATTTCTTAGATACAACACCAAAAGCTTATCCGTGGAAGAAAATATTGATAAATTGGACTTCATTAAAAACTTCTGCTCTGTGAAAGCCACTGTTAAGAGAATAAAAAGACAAACTACAGACTGGGAGAAAATATTTGCAAATCGCATATCTGAGAAAGACAGTATCAAGAATACATAATTCTCAAAACGATAACATGAAAACAAAGAACATATTCAAAAAACGTACAAAAAATTTGAACATTTTACAAAAGAATATATATGAATGACAAATTAGCCCATGAAAAGATTTTCAACATCAGTGTTCATCAGGAAAATGCAAATTCAAACCTCAATGAGATGCCGGCACACACCTATTAGAATGGCCGAAATGAAAAATACTGGCAATACCAAGGGCTGGGGAGGATCTGGAAAAATCCCATATGTTGCTGGGGGGATTTAAAATGGTGCAGCTGCTTTGGAAAGCAGTTTTACGATTTCTTTTTTTTTTAAAAGATGACCGGTAAGGGGATCTCAACCCTTGGCTTGGCCCCCCCCCCCCCCCCCCCCCCCCCCCCCCCCCCCCCCCCCCAGCCAGTGAGCTAACCGGCCATCCCTATATGGGATCCGAACCCGTGGCCTTGGTGTTATCAGCACCTCACTCTACCGAGTGAGCCACGGGCCGGCCCTACAATTTCTTATAAAGTTAAGCGTACACTTAATGTATGACCAAGCAATTATATTCCTAGGTACAGTTGAAATAAACTTATGTTTATATATAAATAAAAAAACTTTCACATAGAAACCTATTCATAAATGTTTATATCAGCTCTATCCATAGTTGCCAAAAAGTGGAAACAACCTAATTGTCCTTCACTGGGTGAATGAATAACCGGACCCTGCTACATCACACAATGGAATACTACTCAGCCAATAAAAAGGAGCAAACTACTGACACTCTCAACAATGTGGATGAATCTCAAAATCATTATGCTAAGTGAAAGATGGTGGATTCGAAAGGCTACACACTGTATGATTCCATTCATATTACATTCTGGAAAGGCAAAACTATAGGAATAGAAAACAGATCTGTGGTGGCTGGGGGCAGGGCAGTGGGGAGGGATTGACTACAAAGGGCAAGATTGTTGCAGTAATGATACAACTGCATGCATGTGTCAAAACTCACAGAACTGTATACCCAAAAAAGTTAATTTTTCTGCATACTAATATATCTCAATAAAAGAAAAAATTTGTTTTGCAATCAGTTTGAAAACAGGTTTACTAACCAACCCTCTTCCAACTGGACTGCTCCCCATGCTTGTCTGAGGCAAAAATTCTGGTGCTGGCTCTGTGCAAGGAGACCCTGGCATCACAGAGAGGCAGACAGGCCTGCAAAGGGGTGCATTTGTTCCTGTGAATCCTGATGGGGCACGTGCGGTACATCACATCGGCCACACATTCTTCACTGCTCCTCCCACGAAGAGGTGGCATCTATTTCCCACCCTGTGAATCTGGGCTGGCCTTGGGACTTGCTTTCTCCAATAGAATGCGGCAAAAAGGCTGCCACGTGGTGCCTAGGGCCCAGGCCTCAGGGTGCCCTGCAGCTTCGCCTTCGTCCTCCTGGAGCGTGGCCCTGAGACTGCCGTGTGCACATCCGGTCCAAGCTCCAGAGGACGAGGCCATGGGGAGGACCGCCTGGGCCCAGCCAACTCTGCCAGCTGCCAGGCGTGTGAGGGACCTTCAGTCACGTGAGCAAGACCAGAGGCAGCAGAGGAATTGCAACCCACAGAACTGTGAGAAATCATTACTGTTGTTTGAAGCTTTAAGCCACTACTTTTTCTTTGTACCTCTCAATACTCCAGTATGTATTTCCAGAAAACAAGGGCATGCAATTAGCAAAATCAGGAAATTAACACTGATAAAGTACTATTATTTTACCTGTGGACTTTTTGAATTTTTACTAATTGTCCCATTGATGTCCTTTTTCTGGTTTAGGATCGAGCTGACAATCACACATGACCTCTAGTTGTCATGTTTCTTTAGTCTCCTTTATTCTGATACAGCTCCTTAGACTTTTTTTGTCCTTAATGACCTTGATACTTTGGAAGAGTACCAGCCAATGATTTCGTGGAATGTCCCTCAGTTTGAGTTTTGGCAGAAACACTAAAGTGATTTTGTGTCCTTGTTCAGAGGCACAAGATGTCAATTTGTCCCATTCTTGGCGATGTTAACTTTGCTCCCTTGGTTAAGGTGGTGTCTGTAAGTTTCTCTGCTGAAAGTTACTATTTCCCCTTTGAAATGAAGGAGTGTCTTGTAGGAGATATTTTGAGACTAGGCAACTATCCTATTTCTCATCCTACTTTTGCCCACTAGTTTTAGCATCCATTGATTATTCTTGCCTGAAACAATTATTACCGCGTTGGTTGCCAAATGGCGATTTTCTAATTCCATCATTCCTTCTAAATTCTGAAGTTTTCCAGAGGGTCGTCATGCAGACGCAGATAACTGAGGCACTCATTGAGGCCTGTGTTAATATTC